TTTGTCTTGCAGTAGCAGTGTCTTGTCCATCATATATGTCCCCATGCTAGGTGCCTCTATTTAGAGATGATACATCATGCCAGCCTGATACCCTTAGCCCAGGCAGTTGCTCCAGAAAGGTAACACCAAGGGTCTGCATGGATGAAAAAAAACATTCTTAGAAAGAAGTTGTGACTTTTCTGCCTGAATTCTCCTTAGCTCAAATGTAGTCCACATAGAAAACATGAGGGGCTTGCTTTACACAATAATTTGCATTTGTGGGTTTTTTTAATTAACCAAACTTCTTAGCAATTCCTTAAATATATTTATGTAAAAAATATAGTATTTCCTTAGGTGTTTCCCACTTTACATGACATACGTACAAAAATGTGTAGTTGGTGAGTAAAACCCTATTCTGAGAGCAGGAAGAGCACACAGACATATCCCTGTCAGAGGAACACTGATTTACAAGGCACAGATCAGTGGATCTGCTCTGACAGATTACGTATTTTGTTTCTTCATTAACGGTGCATAATTTTTGCATTCTTTTTCAGTTAGCTTATGACAGATAACTACTTTTAAAAGCAGATCTCAAGGCAAAGAAATGTCAGTGCGGAAGAATAAAGACATTAAGTATGCATTTATTACGTAAATAAATACTCAAGCTTCTCAAAAGTGTTGAAGTAAATGACACATCTACTTAAATTGGTGAATTCATGGTGAGTAGCTTTAAATAAAAATACTTTTGAAGTAAAAATACCACAAAGTATTAGACATTTCATAAAGTTGGGTTAAATTAGTATTAGAAAAATTATTACTCCTACATTTTTATTAGATATTGAGCTGGATCTCTCTTCCTCTGAAGTCACCAGGAATATTAACATATATTTAATTAACTTGAAGCAAGATTTAGCCTGGAAGAGTTATTTTACCATGAGTAAAGGAGAAAATGAAGTCTGAAATTCAGTTTTTCCAGCAAGGCACTCAACTCAGATCCACAGAGATATTTAGATACCAGTCTCCCACTGGACAAGAAATAGACAGATAAATATATTTAAGAACCTGGAACTTATTAGCTCTGATCTATTTGGACACAAAAAGTATTCACTCTTTCCCTGAATAGCAAGTAGAGCAATGTGGAAAAACATCAATATAAATCAGTATTATAAAAAAAAAGGCAGCTCACTCTCTGCAATGATGAAAGCTGGATTAATTTTCCAACACTCATTATGAACCACAGGAACTCATGTCTACCAACTGGCAGCTATGTGCAAGTCAGTGTTCAGTTTTGGACTTTGCATACAACTTCTAAAACCCATCTCCTCCAAAGCACCAAGGACTGTCTGGAATTACTCTGCAGGAGAGAGCCAGCCAAGGTGCCACCAGCTGAAACACCTTGTTTAAACCACAGGTGGCATTCTGATCTCAGTTACACCAGAGTTAATCAGAGATGCTAATAGATTAGAATCTAGCTCATTGTAGGGGTAAAGACTGTGGTTGCTTACTGAAGTGTCTCAGATTTCTAACTGTGGTATTGCCAGGACATTTTTCAATTACAAGCCTTTATTTTGAGTGTGTGCTATAGAGATCTGTGCATGCCAAGGTGACGGAACAATATTATTTATATATTTTTTTTTTTTCCAGAAAAATATGCTAACTGAATGAAGGGAATTTGTTTTTTCCTCTTTTTTTTTTTATCCTGTTTTTTAAAAATGAGGTTGTGCCAAACAAAAGTTCAATGTCTCTTTTATTCACTTTGTGCCTTCTTTGATCCCCAGTACAACATATTCAAATTCATAATCACGGCATAACTTAGGTTCTATTCTCTGCTGTATATTTTACAAGTCTTCCATTATTTACATTTAAAAAAAAATACAGTCTGAAAGATAACCTTATCTGAAATTAATTTAGTCATATATGGTGTTTATAGGGGTACCACAGGATTCTGTTCTCAGAGAAGTTCCTTGCCCACATTATTGACTCCCACCAGAAACACAAGACGAAATTCTTCAGATTCTCAAATGTTATCCCAAATGGAGTCTGAGCTTCCAATTCAGTTGCTACAGAATAGAGCTTGCAGTGTGTCTAAACCCTGCAGATTTCAAGGAACACTGAGCCTTAGAGAGTTTTAAAAGGGCACAGAAAATTCATGCTTACATGACCCCCCAGCTCACTACCATGCCAGTGGAACTTTGTGATGTTGCCATCTTTGTATCTGTGTATCTCAGATAATTAATTAGAAATAAGTACATTTCAGATGAAGTATGTCTTCATGTGTGTCATAAGTATGACTTCAGATGAAGTCCTATTTCCTAAAGCCTTCAGAGATAGATGAAAATTTCACTGTAGCTCTGCTGCAAATATTTTTCAAGACTTCAGTGTTTGTGAGATGACCTGAATTCCAAAATTGAGGGCGATTCTGGCAAATTTACTGGCAAACCTCACATATTCAGCCTTGTATTACCCTCAGATAATGTCACAGACACTGCTGAAGAGCAAATGCTTTACGAGATAATGAAATTTAAAAAAAAAACACAACAGCAAATAAAGTCCAGTCTTCCCCACGAGTAGTTAGTCCATGCTCTCAAGATGACAGCATAGCTGGCAGAATGCACATTATCCCTAGCAAAACATTTGAACATTTCAGTCACAATGAGGCAGAAGTTTCTGCATCCAAATCACATTTTAGGTTGCTAGAATCCAGCTGCAACATAGTTTTGTTAGGACATTTAAAGCACAGTGTGCAGAATATAGATTAAATGCAGAATATAGATTAAATGCTGTGCCAAAGAATACCTTTATCAGATTCAGCAAAATACACCCAGAAGACAAAAAAGCAGTGAAACACCATTATTTTAAAGTAAAACAAGTATATATTACACAGACTCTGACAATTTATGGAACTGCTGGGATTGTATTTTAATGCAATCTGTTCATTATAACTACTATGGGTAAGAAACTTTCACTAATATAAAAAATAACAAAAACAATAATCCTGCTATGACTTGGAGGAAGTCATCAGACTTCCTAGTGAAATAGGTATGGCAGAGTGGCATCCATGTCACAAAGGCTAAGGTAAAATCATTAAAAAGCATGGTTTCAGCAAAAGCACAGAGACCAAAGAATTTACGAGTCTTGCATAAAAACAGGATCTTCTAACCCGCATATTTAGCTTTTTAATTTTTAATTTTTTTGATGTTCTAGTCATCCTCGCTGGCTTATTCTTGAAGAATATTAAAAAGTTTTTATTTTGAATATAATCTTCATGAAATATTTCACAAAAGAAAAGAAAAAAAAAGGTAGCTGTGAATGAGCATGTGATATAATTGCACCAGTTTGGGAGTTCTTTAGTGGTAATAGCCATCCTCAGTAAATACACCTGGAAAAAGGGTATTAAAAAATTCTTACAACAGAGGTCCAACTGCCTTCAACAAGACATTTTCCTTGGGTTGTAATATACAAATATACAAATATGTAAATGTATAAACAAACTAAAGATGCAGAATGTGTATTGTTAAGGCTTGCATCTTTAACCACAGTGATTACACTGATAGCTTGCAAACCTTTGCCCAGGTTTAATTTATTCACTTTTTGTTAATTTAAAAAGCAAGAGACACAAGTTCCATGGAAGCTGAAAGGAGATGCACTGGCAAAACAAGAATTACAGAAGGATGCTGAGGATGAGGTTCAGTTACCTGTTTATAAGCTTCTAATTCCATCTTAGGCAGTCGAGGGACTATCTGGGGATCATCTCTTTGTTGCCAGCTGCCACCCCAGAATGGTACTACTCCTCTTGAAGTCCTATGTTGTACCTGCCAGCTCAGTGTGGCTGTCTGAAATATCCTGGGGCACTGAAAATAGTAATGGTTGCTTGTATTTAAGTTCATTAATCCCACCCGGACTATTTATTCTCAGCCATATGCACATTCTGTCCAAGCTAACCCCAGAGAAGGCTGTGCTGAGGAGGGAAGGATGGAGGCACCCGAGGCAGTACATCTGGCCCAGGTCTGGGCCTGAAACAACACAGCCCACCCAAACTTCTGTATCCTCCCACAGCCCCACTGTGCTACAGCAATTTATTAGCTGGGTCTTTCGGGTCTTTGATGACTCAAGGATCTTGCATGCTGTTATGTTACATATTGTGGAAAATGCAGGGTTAGGAGAAACAGGAAATTTTTGGATTCCTCTCTGCATTCCTTCTGTATAACAAGGGAACAGCCCTCAGATACAGGTGGCTGGGAAGACCAAGAAAGAAATCAATATATATTTGTAGCTAGGAAGTATGTCCCAGTAAAATGAACACGAATCACTAACCAGTTCTCTTTGCTCCTAGACTATGTACTTGGGGTTTTTTAGTTCAGGTGTTTGTTTTTAAATCTCACCTTCCTTCGTCCTCTTGCAACTACTAACAGAATAGAGCATGATTTCCCTTTTTTACTTTACTTTCATAGCCATTTTGGATTTTGTCTCTTTGAAAGATGCTGCTCATCACAGATTGCAATCTGCCTTGTACAGGTCTCAGTTATGTTTAAATCTTCTTTCATCCTTCAAAGGCTGGCTGAAAGAAGTGTCAGGTCATTATTTCAGGCTGTAGCTTAATACTTAGGCTTACAAGTGTATGATCTCTCTCTTTGGTAAAGACCTTCATTCATTGAAGGTCAAAGTATTAGTGTTATTTTTAAATATATTCCCAGCACTGAAGAGTTAAAAATAGCCTTCTACGAAAACGCACAGTAATTGGTTAAACCTTGTTAGCAATCACATGAAGATAATAACTCCTCCCAGGAAAAGGCCTAGCCAAAGCAGCTTTGACATGGATTTATACTTAGAAGAGCAGCTGCAGGCCTACAGAGAAGGAGTTCACAATATAGACTCTTGGATGATTAGTGGAAAATAGCAGCTTGATACTGGAAAGGAAGGGAAGGAGACATGAGAAAAAAATTTTCTCATGATGATCCGCAAGTGAATTACATAGATTCTCTACTTAGGAACAATCACCATTAGAAAGAAAGCCTAAAAAGATGGACCTGGGAAAGGCAAAGCTGCTGAGAACTGGCCTCAATGCTTTATATCAAGCTATCCACCCTGTGCATGGAATTGCCTGGACAGATGGGAAGCAAGTGATACTGACTACTTTATACTATCAAAATGGAGAGCTGAAGTTTGGAGACTCAAGCATTGTTGGTCAATTTGAACATGTGCATGGGCTTTACTGGGGCCCATGTTGCTCTACAGATACCCCAGCTCTGCTCGCTGTTCAGCACAAGAAGCATGTAAGCATTTGGCAGCTGGTCTACAGCAGTGCAGAGAAGAAAAAGCCCTTGATTTCTCAGACTTGTGAAGTTGGTGAGCCATTTCCACTGCTTTCTCAGGGCTGTGTCTGGCATCCAAAGAAGGAGATCTTGGCTGTACTTACAAAACGAGATGCTTCAGTCCTGCATGCTGTTCGAACTGACAACACGCGGGTTAAGGCAGAGATCAAAAGCAGCGGACTCATTCACTGTGCTTGCTGGACTAAGGATGGTAATCGTTTAGTAGTTGCTATAGGCAGTGCCCTGCACTCCTACATATGGGATAATGCTCAGAAAACTCTAAATATCTGCTCCTTTTGCCCAGTTTTTGATGTGGGAGGTTATATCTGCGCTATAGAAGCCACTCTGGATTTCCAAATTGCTGTAGCTACTGAGCTTCCTTTAGATAATATCTGTGGTTTCAATGCAGGCATTGCATTTGATGTGCCCTCAGGTACAGAAGCTGGCTCTTTAATCTCACAGTCTGCTTTGGTGCTCGGTGATGAGGAATACTCCATGGACACACGAAGAAAGTCCATAGATTCAGATAGATCAGGTGTTGATTCAGTTGCTTCTTCTTCATCAGGTCCTGTGGATTTGACCCATATCCTTGCAAACCACCGTCGGTCTGATCCCAGTCCTCTCATTACTCTGAAACGCAAAGACTCTGCAGCAACAAATGGTCAAGATTCTTCTCACTTGATCTTGGTGACTTTTGAGAGGAAGGTAACGACCACCAGAAAAGTCACCATCCCAGGTATTCTGGTTCCTGATATAATGGCTTTTGACCTTAGAGCTCAGATTGTGGCAGTAGCCTCTAATACTTCTAATATTGTTCTGGTGTATTCAGTAACCTCTTCCTGCATGCCTCACATTCAACAAATCCAGCTGGAAAAAAATGAAAGACCAAAGGGCCTATGCTTTTTAACAGATAAACTCTTATTGATTCTAATTGGCAAGCAGAGGTTCCCTGAGCCTAATCTTATTCCATCTTCAAGTTCAGACAGGTATGTAATGCGTCTTATGGTCAAAGAATTGATGCTGGAAGAAAATTCTTCAGCATTGCCTGAGACTAAGCAAAATATGTTCTATAACTTTGAATCCTCTGTTAATATACCTGGAAGAAGAAAATTCTTTGAGAATCTTGCCACAGAAGACCAGCCTCAAAGCAGGGAGTTGTTAATACCTAGAAGCACAGTTATTCAGTCTCCAAGTGGCAGGAGAAGACTCATTGAAGAAGTAAAGAGCCCTAGTTATGAGCAGAGCCCTTCATCAAGTGTGAGTGACCTGGATGAAAAAAGGCTCCCAGGTGACTCCTTGGTGGCCTTGGAAACATTGGATGCTGAACCTACAAATCGCTCAGTGTCTCTCCGTGGTTTTAGATCACCTAGCAGGATTTCCAGCAGACCAACATCCCCTAAAGTGCAGTTCAGTGTGATCCAAGAAGCATCAAATTCTCCTAAAAACAACAATTTGCCAAGCGAAAGGGGAATGAGTCACATATCTAGAAATCTAGAGAGACTTTGTGGCAGTTTCAATGAGTTACAGCTGAGCCTTTCCGAAATAACGGACTTCGCTAGGAACGGGAGGAGGATATCTTTAGCCTACCCATGCTCCCAGGAACCGCCTGTTGTGCATGTCACTTACCAGGTAAAATTTTGTCAGTTTAGAAATACTGTGATAGGAACCAAACATTTTTAAACAATCTTGCATTTTTTAAACCGAGAGGATGCAGTTTATTCTTATCAACCCATAAGAAATGTAACCTAGGTTTGGCATCAAGCTTAATCTAAAATGGAATTATAATTTTTCATTGGAACAGTAACTCAGGATGATGTGGATAATTTAGAGGATACTTAACATGGGAGATTTGCCTGTTTGTTCTTTGATCATGCACAATTGTCTTGGACACTGACTGATTTTGTATGCATCTGTCAGGACAGAACAGAGCCAGAGTTGTTAATCTGCAAAAGACTTATATTTTAGTTTAGTTCAGAGATAAGACAATGAATGGGGGGCTACAGTAGCTCACCAGAAATGTAATAACTTTAAACCTGAGCTCAGATCCAGGGTCTTAAGATAGACAGACTCACAGGAAGACTGAAACAAAGTATTGAATCTCAATTTATGGAAAATTTAAATGGACATAACATGAATTTGGCTTATTTCTAATTTGATTTCTCAACACTGTTCTTTGCAAAATAAGATGTACTCAATTTGTAAAACACATAACCACTTAAAATTTTATGAAAAAAAAACCTCAAACAAACAAAACCCTTCCAATCCATCAATATGTAATTATGATTTCATTAAATCAGAATTAATATCAGAATTTCAAACCATCATGTTCCTATCTACCCTTGTTTTGGCAAATTTCCTCCTAACTTCAATAAGAATTTCAACTAAGGAATGTTAGTTGGGTAATTATTTCTATCTACTATTTTTAATATTATTCACAGGAATACTAACATTATACTGATCAGATTTTTGAACATGCTGATTGTAATGATACAACTGGTGTCCCTTTCAGGATGTAGATTCCAATTATAAATGCATTCTTATCTACTGCAACATAAGCAGCATTATGTCAAAATAATACACTGCATTATGATGATGCTGAAGCAAATTTTACTTCCTTTAACTTTAAAGGAAGCCATACAGACATCTAAGTACCCCTCCTTAAACACTCGTTAAGGGAATGGTGACTCAATTCAATAATGGTCATTACTTTCTAGTAATCGTTTACTTGGCATTTAAACACATTCTGGTGTGTTGCGTTCTCTGGACAAAAACAAAGATTTCAGTCTGAATTAGTCAATAATTTAACTTGAACATATTATACAAATTCTGGTGAAAAAGCAGCATGTCTATTTTAAATAATTTAGGATTTTATTGGCCAAGAAGCAAGCCCTTCTGTTCTCCAGAATGTTCAAATTAATTTTGATTTCTTAACAAAAATCAATTTATTTATTTAGCAAGCAGCCCTATTTCTAGGATTCAATTGAATTAACCTTTCCCAAGAGAAGTTTTATTTGTGACATATAACATTAATCTAAGATCTGAAGTTGCTATACACATGCTTGCACCATAAGTAAGAATTAGTTAACTTGTTATTTTTCTTCAGAAAAATCAACAAAAAAATTAAGTGCTTCTAAAATACTGCTAGAAAAACTATGTTTAGAAAGGAATACTTATTTATCCAAACAGGTTAGTTTCACATTAAGCCAGCAGCAAGCACTGCTAGCATGGCATTACAATGACTCAGAAAAAGTGCCACTAATGCCTTCCCACACACAGCTTTCGTGGGGAAGTCTCAACTAATGCCCTGTATAGTTCAGCCCCTCTTCTGAAATCAAACAGGATCACAGCATGATGCCAAAAAATAATGAAGAGTAGACTTTGCAGAAAGGTCTACAGACAGACAGGGAAATATTTGCTTCATAGGCAATTAATTTTCAGAGAAACTGCTGTTTTGATTAGTTTATATTCAGACATCTGAAACTTGTTCCTCCTTCAGGAGTTGTTTAGTGCACGGTGAGCTCAGAGACCAGCTGGGCTGTGGGTTCCAGCCAGACTCTGTGTTCACCGAGCAAAAAGTCAGGAAATAGCTTTATTGCCTTATGATATAAATATCAGCCAGTGGAAAACATTCTAAGCTTTAGGAACACTGCAGTCCAGTCAATAATATGGCCATTATCTTCCAGCTCTTCGTGCCAAGTGCATGTCTTCTTAAGTGTCTCTATAATCCCCAGCACAGCAGAGGCTCAGTCTTGATTGAGAAATCTATTGTACTAAAGAATATAATGATCAGGACTGCATAACCATATTTATGCATTTAAAAAATAAAATGAAAGTTTAAAACATAATAGATAAAAATGTAGCAATAATTAACGAGCAGTTATGAACACTGTTTTGCAGAAGCATTATTGACATATTTATGTGTACTTCCTCTTCTGCTTAGAAAACTAAAAACCCCAAACATTTATTACTTAATAATTCATAATGTCTGCTCATTTAACAGTCATCAAAACCTTTGTTTATCCTGTTAGTGCAAGCCTGCCTCTAACTCCTCTGAAGTCACATCTATGCAGTGCTACCAGAATTTGTATTCTTTGTAGTTCATAGCCATAGAAGAAAACCACGATCATTCACACTTTGGAAATGTCACTGCACTATCACTTTTGTAATAGCATTCAGCCACCAGAGGTAACTTGATCATTCAACCCTGAAAAGCAAATATTATTGCTCTTTCATCACATAGAGGCTTGTGATTCGGGGGAATGTGGGAGGGTAGACAGACAAATGCAGTAAGAAGATATTATTTAAAAAGAAAAAAAAAAGAGGATCTGTCAGATTTTTTTTCTGTTTCATTTTGCAAAACGATATTTTTATCATCCTTTTCCCTCAGAAAAGAAACAGCTGCAGAATATTTAAACTAGTCTAATTCAAAAGCTAATTACAGTGGAAATAAAGCCAATCTGGATCTCAAATTAAAGACATTTAGGCAAACCTCTCCAGGAGGAATAAGATTCATTTTAATCTGAAGAATATCTTTAAACTCCTACATCTTGTTCACAAGCAGTAGATGTCAAAAGTTTATATCACTGAGAGCATATATTGCATAATTAAATAGGAAATAATATCTTTTCAGCAATTTGTCACAATGACTTTCTTTTCTTAGCACTCACCAATAATTGTACACAAGTCAATTTGTACTTTTATAGTATCTTCCTACAATTTCCTATGGGAAACTTTAATGTCAAGGTCAGCTACAAAATAAACTTTTTTTTTTTTTTTAATACACATATCTGGGAGATGAACAGAAAGGATCCAAACATATGGCACTAAAGCTCTGATAGAAATGCATGACGTAAAGAATGGGAATATAAGGATGGCACAGTAAAATGAGCGAAGAGCAGGCTGAAATGATGAGCTGTAATAAGACCATGAACCCTTCCAAAATCCAAAGGGCATTTCTGACTCGGGCTGAGCAATAGAAAGTAAGTCATGAAAATGATGGAAGAGGAAGCTGATATGACTGTTCCCTGGAGTAAGAAACTAGTCAGCTATCCTGAAATTTATAAAGAAGAGATTTAGGATGACTGTAAAAGAAAGACCCGCAGTAGTCAAGAGAAGTGTGATTAATGCATGGATAACATTTTGAGCAAAGGTTGAGGAATTTGTTATGAACAAATTCTGTCAACAGTGTACTGAAACTGATCAATAACAGACAAGCAGGGTTTCTAGAGGAGACACAATTCCTTTTGTTAGAGCAGATGATTTGTTTGTTGGATACGCAGGTGCAAAAGGAAAGGAACATGTAATGTCAAAAATGAAGCAACCCAAGTTTTAACTGCACAAAGAAAGTAAAGATCATACATAAAGACCATGGAAGCACAAACACAAAAGGTGTATCTTAGATGACAATACACCTGAAACAGTAGCTGCAGAACTATTAACAGAGAGACAAGAGGAGAGAAATCCCAGCATCGTGTCACCAGGAATGTTGATGTGCCCTATAAATGCAAATTGCACTGGGATTTAAGCACCTCTGAGCACCTTAGATCTCTTCCAGCGTAAACATTTTACAGGCTTATGCTTCTCTGCCAGGTTAATTAAGGTTGCAATTGGAATGTCCCACATAAAGGTAAGGAAAGGAAAGACAGCAATATCTCCACCACAATAAAAACAGAATATACCAGAAAGCAGGCAGGAGTCACAGCAGCAGTAGAAATAATGACAGAGAAGGGGAGCAGTGCAAGCTGTCAAACCTAATGAACACTACCTGTGGCAATGCTGCACAAGGCGCAATGAGAATGTAAATCATAATTCTCCTTCCTTTTCAATGCTCTCTTCCTTAGCTATTTAAGTGTCTTCTGGAACAGAGCCCCCATATCTAGCTAATTTACTAGCTTTTTCTCATCCTGGACAACGAATATAGGGGCAAAGTAAAAGCAAGCTGAGTAATGGGTACTAAGGTATCAAACCTGAAATCACCAGTGGAGCACAACACAGTTGAAATCAAGGGTTTAAAAGAATGAAACCAGAATCCTAGACAACTACAGCACTATTCACTGTACAATGCATGTACTAACCCGATACCTATCCCTTATAAAAGAACAGATTATTAACACAAAGGAGATGAAGAATATTTAAAATACCTGTAGTTCAGTACAGTACTTGAAATCAAGCCACAGGGGAAATTATTTGTTCAACAGCAGAGAATAGGGATTAATAGAAGAAAAATAAGATAGTTAAGGAATTAACTGCAGGGGAGATAGGAATAGTTATAGTAATATACAAGAAAATGGAAAAAAAAAATTACTAGTAGATTTTCTCATGATGGATTTTCAAGCTCATGTAAAAGTTTCATTAATGATCTGCTGAATTATGCTTATAAAATCTGCATAGGACATGCAGTCAGTAATATTTTTGATAAAGGATCAGGATTTCAGATCTGTAAATTGATGACTATTATTTAACATCTAGAATAAAAAAGAAATTAAATTAACTAAATGAACTAATATAAAGGGCATAGTAATATATTCCAGGATTAAGAGATGAAATTTCTGCTTTTGTACATGCTAAGTGACTACAAGATGATTGTGAATCCAAAATACAATACTGTTATGAAAAGAACAAAGGCAGTGTGGGAGCATATCAGTGAGGCACATCAGCAGGTATAGAGCACTGGCAACACAGCTGGCAGGTCTCATCTGAAAATCATTTTACATTCCTAGGCATCCATGGGCAAGAAAGATGTATTAAGACTTCAACTGATCTCTAACCCAATGTCAATAAAACCAACTCTGATTGGTAGCACATTCTCATTTACTTCACTCTTTCATCTATTGTTGAATTTAAGTTCATTGAGGTGATCTTAGCATGCAGGGGAGCATAGGCAGTGGTTTAGGAAATACAAGACAAATGAAGAAAAGGTCAAGAGGTAGAACTAGCTCCAGCTGACTGCTCAGTGGGGTCCAAAATAGGGAGAGAAGGCATATTAATTTATTGTGCAGACATCTGTGAGGTATGTAACATCTCATCCACTAATCCTTTTGCCTTAGTAAACTATTTTTTTCTCGTACCTATTTGCAATCCAAAATGTGAGTTTTGAAAGACAGTTTGGCACTGCTGTGATGGGCTGGCTGCTTCCCAGAACACCCTTTATAGCTATAAAATCTCATCTGGGCAGGCTGACACAGGTGAAGGAAAACAGTTATTGAATTGATCATTTATTTTTTCTGGGTTTTTGTTGAAGAAGAGTTGGACTTACTACAGAAAGTTGGCTAAAGAAACTTAATCTGAAAATATACACTAATGTATGTGGAAATATACTTGCTTCTTCTGTGATTAAGATGTTCTTTGTCTACTAATAAACTTTGTTCTAGAATAAAGCAACTAACACAAGGGATTTTAATCTGGGCATTTCAGGTTCTCTAATTCCTATTGGAGAAAAATAACAATATAGCAAAAACAGACATGGATTTTGGGAAGAGGTGGATTAAACCTAGATTTGGCTATAAAATTGTCTTTGGGTTAAGGCATGCAAGTGGGAAGTACCAATGCAAGCTTTTAGTTGTACCTCTACCTCTGTCACAAATTACTTCCATGACCTTGGCTAAATCTCTTAAGCTCCCTGTATAATGGTATGATCATCTATAAAAAGGGGTTACTAAGAGTTACCTGCCTCACAAGAAGGTAGAGGTTTAAATCAGTTAATCTGTGACATGTGTGTGAACACATTCCTCCAAGAGAAGGCACATTATCATCACTTAAACTGAGCATTAAACAAAAAGGCTAAATAATTAGATTATAACAGAGAAAGATTCTTGACCTGACAGAATTTGTAAAAAGTTAAAAATAAGTGTGTAAAATGATTATGTTTATCATTATAAATAGAAGTATATGACAAAGACAGAGAAAATAGCACATATGACACTGGCAGTGACAAAAGACAAACAACCAAGTCTTGATCTTTCAGGTCTGTACTTGAAAAACTGTTTAGGATAAAACGTAGGTGTTGTGTAGTTTTTTGTATACAAAAATGTCTTTCATTCCCAATGGCTGTTCCAATCATAATGTGCAATGCTATATAGAAAACAAACTAGAAGAAAGTTGTCTTGAGTATATGTTTCCATTTAACTGATTTTAAGTCAAGAGAGACAGAGCTAGATTATTTTCTGATAACTCTTGAATTGAAGCATATCTATGTGGAAAATGGACCACTTGGGACTAGGCGATGAGCCTGTCTCATTTACAGTCCATTTTTTTCTATAATTCATGAACTGAAGTTCCAGTTTAAATAAACTCTGCTATGTCAACCTGAACTCAGGAAAATGAAATAATTGTTAGATGTGCTAGTCCACAGTCTGCAGCAATGACAGAGCTTTGCACAAATACCTGCACAGGCAAAGAGCAACTTTGCAATGCCTGTGCAAAGTACATGCTCACTGCTGAACATTCAGCCTACTGAGTTTTGGGTGTGTTTAGGTTTAATAGAATATAATATTACATTACTTGGAAATACCTAAAAATGACAAAGAATTTCTTTTATATAGTTACAGGTGTAACAAAAAGTTGCAACAGATTTATGACTAAGAAAACTTCCTTGAAAGTTTTCTTGAAAGTCTTCCTTGAAAGAAAACTTTCTTATGGCTAAGAAATACTACCTTGATGCATTCCTTAGATATGTCCTTTATTAATAATGCACCAACAAATTTCTGGTTGTTTGGACTGCGGAAAAAAAGAGAAGACCCTTGAAAGTTGGAAAGTTCATGTTTTCAATGGAAAGATTTTTTTTTATGGGTCTTATGTATAAAAATCAATCATAATAAATAAATAAATAAATAACAAATCAGCCATAGACTATCTGCATGAGCAATTTATAGCAGATTGGGGGAAAAGACATTTGCTACAGTCAGCAGACATTCTGATTTACAGTATTCAATGTGGCTGCATGACAGTACAGATACTGTGTACAGAAAAGTGAAAGGGATTGATTTAGAGAGGTTGTTACACAGCAAAAATGCACACGTTCACAGAGAGCAACTGTCAAAAGACACGACAATTAGAAATGAAGACAAGCATTACAAGAGACATTTATTTAGTCAAAGGTCAGATTACTGTGCACACAAATAGAAGATTTAGTTGTGAATTCATTCAACTGTTAAGTTTTACATTAGCAAGAAAAAATTCAAGGGTGTGAAGTAGACACAGACAGAGTAGGACTAGAATAGGAGTTAGGATAGATGAGATCCTGTCAGCCCATTCTGAAACCTTGGATCCCTTTTGAATATATGAAACAGAGGGGTCTGTGAAATTGGGTAAATAGACTGTTTATTCATAACAAATATGTAAAATCTGGTGGTATTGCAAACATAAAGATGCAAAAGAAAAATAAACTAAGCAAAACATAACACAGGGAGAAACTACACAGGGAGAAAGCATGTAAAGAACAAAATGAAATTTACAGGACAAAGTATAGCAACATTATTTAGAAATATTTAGAAGAAAATGTCCCATTCACATCTATTTCATAATGACATTGAGTCATTGGAAAATTTTCAATGTTAAAAGGACTTTTAAATGATAGCAGATAGGAAAATGTAAATTCAAATATGTATCTACCCCATGACCATAGTAGCTCAACTATTTTTTGTCCTTGTACCTTGAAGTAACCAGAAAGATGAAACACAAAGATGTTTATTCTCAGGGCCACCTAAATTTCATGAAGCACAAACAAGCCACCTTTATAATCAAGTGTGTTCTTCCAGTGAATACCAGAGCAAATTCCAAGGCTTAAAATACATACATTCCCTCTCGCTCAAAGCAAGATCACAGGATTCTCAAGCTACCTTGCTGTAACAGCTTTTCAGAGAGACTGTGGCTGTGTCCAGTCTCTCTGCAACACTCCCTGTGCCAAAATAACCCTGAGGTTATTTTAGCAGGGTGGAATAGCTGCCCAACAGCTCTCAAACCCACCTACACATAGAGCTGAAACTGAGCAGAGTACTCATTTACTCTGACAGCATCTGGAACAACATTATTCTAGGAATGATACATTCCCTTCCACTAAACTGCCTTCAGGCAGGGAGGCCCAACAGACACACAGATGCCCACCCCAGGACAATACACGTACAGGGCTGAGGCAGCTTTGAGCTGCAGAAGCTCATAAAGCAAAAACCAAAGAGACATTTTCATCCTCCTCATATGGGACTATGAAATTGTGTTAAGAATGGTACTGCATGATGATGTCATCTATAAACTGCAGGAAAGACAGACCAAAAAAAAGCGAAATGACTAAAGAACTGAAAGGAGTAAGAGCAGAGGAATGGTTATAAGAACTCGGGCTCAATGTCTAAGCCATTAACAAGATCTTTTCTTTTACATACATGCATATGAAGAAAAGCTTTTCAAATGGATCAGTTACTGAAGAAACAAAAGATGTTCTCCTCTGTGATGGCAAGATCCATTTGAGTTTAGTCCAGCAGCTGTTTGATCTGCCTGTTATTGAAATGAAACACGGTATGTTCTTTTTATTTCTGCTATCAGGTTTCACCTGAGATATTTAGCATAAAAGAGACATTTTTACCCCAGACTTTAGTAAACTGAGCTAACTAACTTTTTTGGAAGTGTGTGTTTTCCCATGTCTGAAATACAGCAGAGTCTCTTGAAATAATTTAAATGCTAATTAACTGCAAAGCTACCTATTAGCAGAGTAATATGTTAGGTGCCTCTGCAAAGGAAGGTTGAGAAAATAATCAGTACACTGTGATACCTGGAAGTAGAATTACTTTCCTAAAACCTTTCGGCATTTTGCTTCACCCATTCTTACTACCACGTCTTGGCCCTAAGAGTAGAGTATAGGTTGGAGAAAAATTCACTCTCAGAATATGATATATATATATATATATATATATGTATCAAGTAGCATTTGGGATTATTTTAATGTAAGATAAAAAATGAAGCTCAATGTTCCTATTTGCCAATCTCCCATTTTTACCACCTACCACTGATTAACTCATAAAGACAGATGCCACAAAGGGAACTCTGGCCCCAGACTGGCCTCTAAATTGCCTTGTCCCTGTCTGTTCCTGTGACACCTTTTCAGCAACACACACTCTGTCACTTCTTAGTCATTTCTCTATAATGCTTCTGATGGCTTTTCTCATCATAGACTACTATGATCCTTTCTGAGGTAGTTCCAGAAGATAAGGATATGCAGGTTCCACATTTTTGTCAGGTATCTTCCTTGACTATGCAGTGCACTGGAAGCATATATGAAAAAATCCTACTTGCTGTTGAGATCTGAGCTATTTCCCATCAGGTTTCTGCAGCAACATGATGCAGTTCTGCGGGGTGAGGAGGAGCTCATTTTTGGCCTGAATTTCCAGCTCTTGATTTTAGAAATAAATGCCCATAATAAACAAAGGGACTGAGAAAACCTATATTCAGCTCTACAGAGCAGTTGAATATTTAATTAGCAAAACACCTCTCCTCAATTTCATGTATTAGACTTCAGAGATATCAAAAAGATAATGTCATAGAATCATCCTAACGTGTCCCTCTTTCTGCTCAGATTTCTGATATTGAGTCTGTACGCTTACAGCAAAAAGAAAAACTGAAACAACAGTCTTTCTAAAATTCACCAAAATCCTGCAAAATTATGATGTTTGGAATGGAAGCAGTTGTGTTGCTCTTTATTCAGTTCTAGATAGTACTTGCTTATATTCCTAAAAGTTTCTTTGGACACAAGACATAAATATTAAATGTGAAGTTTAAAAATATCACTCCCGTCCTTTAATACTATATAATTAAAGGGTATGTAATGAAGAGCATGCTTGCATTATAATGACAGCCAGGCATTTTTTACTATGAGTAAACACTTAAGCATTAATAGATTGGAGGGAAAAGCTTCACAACTGTAAGTCAAATTAATGTCCACAGCAATGCTGTTAAGATCATCAGAGTTAAAAGAGCAAAGAGCTTGGCCTCATTGTTTGCGCTTTAAACCCAGAACTGTAATACCATTACCTGTGCTAAACATAGTCTGTCATGGAGTGCCCTGCTAGCAGCACACAGGAGTCTCTCTTTTTGGCACACCATCACAATAATTGTTCACTGTAAAAGAGACTACACTCTGCACATGGCTTTTCCATTGAAATATTCCATGGGATATGCTTCAAGCAAGTGTTATCAATGACACTGAGAATTCCCAGTATTTCAATGGACAAAAGTAAGTCTCAAGAGTCTGACACAACAGTATGCTTCATCAATTTGATGAACAATGGAATATCCATTTGGACCATAGAACTTCTACTTTCAGGCCCACTGCTCACAGAATTTGAAATCTGTTCAGATTTAGAAAGAAAGTATTAAGAGCAGAAGATTAAAGATTCATGGTTTGGAAAGATAATCTTCTTATGATGTAACAGGTGACATGAGAACATATAACCAGCCTGGAAAAGTGCTTTGATAGTAGTTAAAGAAGGGGAGATTTACCTTCTCCAAGAGCATGCTTTGTTACGACTGACAAAAAATAAGAATGGTTCACTTAGATTTTCCAGAGTTCCTTGTTTCACATTCAATTTCAAAAACAGTTTTATATCCCAAAATCTAAAATCCCAACACAGAAACTATTGGGGCTTTCTTTCCTTCATATCCCAGCTAATGCCCCTGCTCAATAATGACAGAATCACATGCTCTAAGGAAAGTGTGTCATATAAGGGCTTCCACAACGCTTTTAAGGTACCACGGATTTTTTTTCCCATAAAGTGACAAACTGGGGAAAAAAGAAAAAAAAAAAAGAAAAAAGAGAATTTGCTCTTTTCTATGAGAACTGCAATATCCAGCCAAAAAGAAAGCCAGATGAATCACTAAATAAAATAATAATTTTTAAGCCAATTTGCTAAGAAAAGTAAAAACAGAGTGGGGGGAGGTTTATTTTCAACTTCTATGCAATACAGAAAGAGAACCTAAATGGTTTTGAAGTCTTTTGGTTTTTAAATCTTGTCTCTTTTTTATTTTCAGAAAAAAGATATTTAAAATGCCATCCATATTTTGTTCATTCTCTTTAGAAGAAGATTCAATAAATAAAAGACACAACATTTTACCATAGCAGCTTTTGTAAATCATATTTGTAAATAATTTTCAAGGTGTAACATTCTTCTATTTGCTATATGAATTTGAAAACATATGGAAAAATCTTGTTTTGACAGTAATGATCTGGAGACCCCTACTCTCTACTAGAACAAGCACAATCATTTTTGTTGGCAACTTTTCCAGTTTTTATAATCTCTCTGTCATTTGGGTAGAGCAGATGAGTGAAAAGGATGAGCAGATGTCATCAGAACAAAAGTCAGCATGGAAAGGCTGGTGGAGTTCTGAAAAGATGAAACTACTTATAGTTTATTAGAACTAGCAAAGATGCACCTTGTGTTTAAACTTAATTTAAACAAGGGATGAAATGCCTCAAACCTTGCAAGACCTTTAATTTAGCCCCTCACTGCATTTGCACAAAGGTGTGTTGAGCATGGATTGTCAGACCTTAATGTCATTAGTGTAATAAGGCTTTAGTGCACCAAAAGAAAGCCTGCTCTGCCTACGTGCTCACTGACTTTTAAAAACGTGCTTCTACATTTACATAACCAGATCAGTGCACTCATTTTCTTTTTTTGCTTAATTTTTGTAGGCTCTTCTTGGATTGTGCTCACTGCAGACAAGGACGGCTTTGTGCCATTAATATTCAAAGCCACACAAGAGATAATCATAAGGGATGGAACTGACAGTTCAGAAGTCTGTGGAGGTCACTCCCACAAAAAAAGCATCCCAATGCGACCACCAAGCAGAGTGACATAATTTCTGAACAAAGAACTCCAATGACCTTCTTTTCTCCTACAATACAGAGACATTCTGTCGTCTCAGATACAGAGAGACTAGAAAGCTGTCTACACGACTTTCCATGTACTGAAACTGTAAAATCTGTGGCATGGTTACACTATAGCTACATCCTCGGGTTGGCTGGACCCTCACAACTTCTTCTGAAGGACTGGACCTACAGCGAAGTTCACCGCTGCTGCTGTTATTAATGGCTGTCATGCACTGGAGCAGAGTACTGTCTACTTTGATTGAGGTCAGGATGTTCTTGGAGGAACAGTATAATGCTAAAAATCATGCAGTAACAACAAATCTAGCTGGTGCAGGTGTACAGTCTCCATAAAACTTGAAGAAAATACAACTGAAGAGCTTTTTTATTCATTAAGGAAAACCAGGATAGGGAAAAAAAAAAAGGAAAATTGCTTCAGGCTCTCTTCTGTTCCAGCTGGGTCCCATGGAAACCTGCAACAATTTCAGAAATGTCTAATTTTTATATGAAAATGCTCAATTACTAAAAAGGCTGCATCACTGTCTCCTGTCAGTGTCTTACACAGCATGTAAATTTATACATGCACACAGAAGAGAAAGAAAAAATCTTGCAAGATAAATTGAGGATCAAAGACGTTGAATGTAATTTTCATTTGGCTAAATGCAGGTGTATACACTGAACGTTTCATCTACACTCCTGCACGATCAGTCAAAAAAAGGAAAGCACTTCTATAGCAGATTATTCATGCCCTAACAGAGATTTCTAAAACTGATTGTGGTGATCTGTCCCTATTAAATAAATAAATAAGTGCCTGTTCCTTTCCACTGACTTCAAACACAAGCAGGAGGACTGGTTTGAACAAAAACATTTACATTTAGCCAGGTGAACCTCAACCTCAGAGACAAAAGACAATACAGATACAGGTGAGAGTCAGGCAGGCAGATCCATAGAAACTAAACTATCGTGATTATGTGATATAGACAAAAGGGAAGATCTTAATGAACTCCCTAATTTTTCCTCATTAAAATGCAAAGAGAAGGATAAAGTAGAGTGAGCAGCCATGTGTGCAAGGGCATTTTGTACTGCTGGAACCATGGAAAGGTGTGCCTGCTTCACCCTGTACAGCCAGGGAAACAGACTAGGAAAGATACTTAAGCTACTATTAGGAGTTATTTTTCCTATTGTGCATTTTGGGTCTTGTTAATACTCCTGGGGAGTCTTTTTTTCCCATCCTGGGAACTGTGGCAAGCTCATTCATAGGGCACAGATACTAAAATCCAGTTACAGCACTTCACTCCATACAAACACTGGGTCGAGACAGTAGATCTATGCTCTGAAGGACCTTAATGGGTTTGGAGGTTTGGCATTAGTACCATTACAGTAATGCAGCCAGGAATCTCATAAGGAACAATTTCAGTTCTTGAAAAAAGTAAACACTTTCATTTCATTGAATTAAATGTTTTCTTCATGCAAATATCCTCCCAGGGACAAAGGAATCATCATTCTAAATCATCTACAACCACAGGCATGCAATACAGCAGAGTGTATTTGTACTACCTTGTTTGCAAAGATCTCTTTAAGCAGCCTCAAGAAGCATTCATGATTGTAAAAAAAATAAATCTCAAACAACAAATAAATATGACTTTTTAAGTATTAAACACATAATTCACTCTATATTTATTTGGTTAATTGGAGTTTGTGCTTATTTGCATTAGAATTGTGGTTAAATGGGTTTTTGTATTACTACTGCTTTAAGAATTTTATTTAAGTGATGCTTTCCTTCACTGAAATCAGCACAAATCACTGAAATCAAATAACTAATACAGAGGTTCACAGACATAGCGTGGTGAGGGAAGACATGATCAGATTTCCAAAGGACATAGCACATTTCAAAGCAGCAGATGTTTCTAATCCTGCAAATACCTTTGATTAACATCCTTGTGTCTCCTAAGTGTTGGGTATTTACAATGCTTATGTTATGTCCAAGCAAAATAAAACTTAATTATAACTAACTAGAATAAAGGAAGGATATATTTTGGAGGACTACTTAGGCTCAAATAAAGGAAGAACTACAATGAAATTTTTCTCACAAATATTATCTTGTATGGGTGATAATCTCATAGTTTGGTCCACTTGAATCAAAACACAGAAAGTGTTACAGGGGAACTCTGGGAAGGTGAAAACCTGAAGTAGCAGAGATCAGCAAGTATCCAGGCATTAAAGATCTCTCAGAACTTATAACCAGACATTTCTTTGTCATTGTGTCATACGATCATTTGGGTTTTTTATGCATTACTCTTCTATAAAACAATCTGAGTGTTGAGGAGATGAGAAATTAAAGGAGATTCTTTGAACAGCTATCAAAGTTTGGTTTGGTTCTATTTGGTGGAACTAAAAAAGGACAAATATTCAGATGACAAAACAATTGGTTTCAGGGAGTAACTAGCTGTAAAATGAAAAACTTTAGTTCTGTGATTCTTAATGAATTTCTAGATTTGTTACATTTTGGTGACATTGTTTTCCCTCCCCTATTATTCAAAGATTAAGTAGGAGCCAATCTACCTAAAGGTGCCATCATCACCCAGCACAAATAGTCTGGTAACAAACAAGGACTACAGTTTATCCGGTTAGACACTTAAAATTTTATAGGAAGGCTTAAGAAAAAATGCTATACATCAATTAAAATTGTATAATGTTAAAGAATAGAACTGCTCCCACATTTATGAATATGCTATTACGTACATATGCTTGAAAACAAGTATTTAAATCATATAGATACACTCAAAAATGGACAACAATTGAACAAATAAATATTTGTTTTCAGGTAATGATTAAGGAGAGCAGTGCAGAGCTATTTTATCTACTGTCTACACAGGGCTGTAAAGTTAAAATTGAAAGTAACAAAAGCACTGCAAGAAGTGCTGAAGAGATTTATGCGAAGCAGAGGATAAATTTTCAGCTTTGGTTTGGATGGAGAACAGATGGAGAATCAGTGAAGTAGAGAGATAAAAGATGACTGTTCTATTAAGCACAAGCTGTACAGAAGATATTTGCAAGAACAGTGATAAAGGCATGTGGAGAAGGAGTTTGTACTAAACAAGTTGAGCAGAGAGGGGGCTGTGAAAAATAGAAAAGTGTAGACAGAGAAGCATTCACCATTCTCCCCAGATGCTATTTTACAGGGCCAAAATCGATCAGTTTAGGAAAGGGGAATTGTTCAGATCATCTAAATGTCATGAAGCGCCAATCCTCTTTTATAGCTCCTTCTTTCACCAGCAGAAAGGACAGTCACCAGACTAGACTGTCACCAGACTAGAAAGTCACCAGAAAAGGCAGTGTTCTCTGGAAGAATAAGGAGACTACTGGCGCTAAGCTTGTGTCCAGAGTCACCCAGCAGGGAAGTCTGTATTCTGTAATTAAACCAGAGGAAAGCCAGAAAGACTAGGAATTAAATTAGAAGTGGAAGCAGAATGACGACACTCAGTATGCCCAACCAGTGGCACTCAGAAGTCTAAATGGGGTACCAGCTCCTCCAAAACATTTCCCCTGTGGGGGATAAACAACATACCACAAAGTCTAAATTTCTATTTTAATTACTCTGCATCTTTATCCAGCACATTTATATGCATCCCAGTGTATTTTTAGGAGTTGCTACAGCTTTACTTAAAAGTACAATCTGCTTCAAAGTTAAAACTTACCTTACACTTTCCATAAGTTGCCTGCTAAGCATGCAACAGTCTCCTTTCTTTTAATGTTTGTTTTTTATGTATTGGCCCACTTGAGAAAATGCTAACAGAAGTTCTGTATTCCACATAGGCTTTTTCTTTTTTGATTTGTAAACGGTATCATGAGAACAATAATAAAACAATATACAAATGAAATCCAGCAAAATCAAAGTAATCTGAAATTCTGCTGGCCAATTTATGATGATGACTTTGTACAATGAAATATCATTTTTTCATTCTTTATAATAGCTAAAAAGTGAGAGATCACAGCAGGAAGTGTATAAAGTAGGCTCCGAATTACACTCAACTAGTTCTTCCATTTTTCCCTCTATTACTCTAAAATAGTATTTTCTATACCTATGTGAGTTTCTTTAATATCTTTTCAGTCACTGAAACAGTATCAACAGTACCATCAAGCCTAACTTCCTTTCCCCTGATTCTCATTTTCCTCTGTATTTCCTATTTCCAAGCTTGGATAATGAACTTATTTTTAGCTATTTTTACTTTCAGGTTTTCCTTCCTTAACAGAAAACCACAAGCCCTGGACTATTTTCCCACTCAAAATGTAGCTGACTAGTCCATCTCTCTAACCCAAAACAGTGCCAGTTATTCTGCAGTAACTCCTGTCAGATGTTTATCTAGCTTGTTCTTAAAGAACCCAACATACAGTACCTGGTAGCACTAACCCATCCTGTAGAGCTGACCTGACTTTTAAGCATGTGAAGTTAGGCAAGGTAAATCCCAGGAGTTATGCAATTTCACACATGCAAGTATTTCTTTATTCTCCATTGTCACATGCAGCTGAAATTAACTTATGTGCAATGTTAATAATGCTTTTATATATTTATATATATGTTAATTAGTCAATGTTATGGTTTCATTTTTTTTCAGTGACTGAAGCAATTTCACAATCTTGATGTTAAATGCAAACTCACTTTGCTGAGGTTCATTAGTTCCTGACAGTACTATTATACAATGGACAAGGAGAGAGCTGCCATTCCCCCTCAGCTAATGACACTGATGTACCCCTCATTTGAGTCTCCAAAGTGAGAAAGATCCACCCCTCTTGTGCAGGTGCCATGGCATCTTAGCAACCAAGGCAGCACACAGCCAGGAGAGCATCCAAAAACCAGAGGGTGACACAACAGACAAACTGAAATGCTGGACAAATGCAAACCTTTAGTCCACTTCAGAGGCAGCAGTCGCTCCCTTCCAATCAAACACGCTTAATACATTTTAAAAATATAAAAGATAGTATAGAAAGACAC